CTCCAAGTTAGATGGAAATTGGATCTAAATTTAAATTTCTCCTTTTTTGTCAGATAACTCCAGGAGCTTTACCTAAATCTCATTCCCCTGTACCCCAGTTTCCTAGGAAACCTCACCAGCTACTCTTCCCTTTCTTCCCAGATCTTTCTTCAACATATCACAAGCGACATAGTTTCTTTTTTCCACTGACTCTGTTTTTTTTTCTGGAGATAGAACTGCCATATATCTCCCTTTAAGAGCTAAAAGAGTCTTTTAACTTGGCATTACGTATTAAATAAAAATTTGTTCTGATCATTAAGAGGCCCCAGTGCAGTCACTGAGCAAAAATGACCAGAATCCAACATCATGAGTCTTAGAAAAACCGTATTATACAGAAGCATGCACCACGAGTGCACTCCCCAGGAAAGAAGGAAAAAGGAAGCCCATCATACAGAAGTGGTTGGGACATAAAATGAGTAAAAACAGAGCTTTAACCCAAAGTCACTTCATCCTCAAACCCTTACGCCTTTCTGCGGATTGCCCACGTTCTTCTCTGTTCACCCCTGCCATCTTTTTGGTCAAGCTAAAAAAGGAAAGATGCCCTTGAAAATTGCTTTCTTCCTTACCTATTCTAGTTGGTTTACTTATAAATGTACTTTGAAATGGCTTTCAAATCATGTGGTTTTCCACTGGGATAGGCTTAAGACTCACTAAAGTCATTAGTTTATTAAAACTCTGCTTAGATGTTCAGTACCAAAGCCAAAGTGAAAATATTTTCTGTCCTTAACTGATGTGCTGAATGTCCCGTTAGCTAAATAGTAATCATATTGAGACGCCAGCTGGCTAGAGCTAGGTTTAATCCTTAGCTGGAGGTTGAGGAACTTTGTACAATCTTATCGTCAGTCTAGCCACGCCCTTCTGGACAGTGGCTCGTGTCCCAGTCACATTGCTTGAAGCAACACACAAGCATTCTCATTATGTGCCACGAGTGCTTTCTAACCTTGTTAGCATAGAAGACGCATCAGGATGGAAAAAGACAGCAGCAAAGTAAACATTGTGTGCAGCACGGTGGTGTTAATGCCGGTGCAACCTTTCTCAGCTTCTCAAAGTTCCAGGTGGGATAAACTCGGGTCAGAGTGTGTCCGCAGCACAGAACATAAAGCATCTTCTGATGGGCTACAGCTGACTGGGGGCGCAGAGTACACTTCCGGCAGCAGCCTGTGCTCTTCAATGGGGGCAGCAAGCCTCCACCTGAACCTTGCCTCATGTGTAACTCGGACATGGCTTTCAGACCTCCTCTAGTGGCCAGGGCACTCCTTGTTCTTTGCTTAGGCAACTAGGCATGAGTATTTCTTTGCACTAAATGAGTTAAGCAGCCTAGAATATACAGAATTTTTTTTAATTTAATTTTATTATGTTATGTTAATCACCATACATTACATCATTAGTTTTTGATGTAGTGTTCCACGATTCATTGTTTGCGTATAACACCCAGTGCTCCATCCAGTACGTGCCCTCTTTAATACCCATCACCAGGCTAACCCATCCCCCACCCCCCTCCCCTCTAGAACCCTCAGTTTGTTTCTCAGAGTCCATCGTCTCTCATGGTTCGTCTCCCCCTCCGAATTCCCCCCCTTCATTTGTTTTTTAAAGAATGCTCTATCAGGCTAAGTGCAGCATCCAAAACTAGGAATCATCCTATTAGAGATCCTGATTCAATTTTCTTTTTTCTGTCAATCCAAAAAGAGGAAAAGAAAATCAAACCTTTCTGTCATTATTTATCCAGATTAATCATAATTCATGTCTTTCTGTTCCCTTTTGGGTTTGTGTGCTAAATAAGACTTTGTCTACTATCTATGAATAAAAACTCTTGGGTGACTTCCAAGGTGCCTCTGTCATATAAAATCCCATGCTATCTATATTTTGAACAATGTCAGAATGAATTCTGCATGAATTAAATGGAAATTTATTGGAAGTAAAATATGTGCTGTCATTCTGGAGCTATGTCCCAGGAAAACACTGGGTAGTGGATGTATCATTCCACTCGATGGTTCTATGTCCAAAAAAGGGATGATTCAGGTATTTGTTCATACAATGGCAAAGGTCTTAGCTTTACAGAGATGAATATTAAAATATTTGTCATCTTGATCAAGTCAGACTATGGGAACTGAAACCAGAAATTGAGAGGAATTCACATCCTTCTTGCGGGATACCCCACATGAGATCCTTTCCTGTCCCTCCCCCCGCATTGCCAAGTCCTGTCCATCCGAGTTTATGAAACATCCTGTGTCAGTCCACTGGTCTGTAGCCCCCATCTTCAACCCAGACTCTTGCATCGTCCCCCCCACTTCGCTGTCTTATTGTTCTCCTCTGACTGACCCCAGCTTTGAAGATGACTTTTGAAGTTAATGACTAAGGGTCAGTACTCTGACTTCCCTTTCAATGAGTTTCTGTTTGCCATTGTATGTGTGAGAAATGACACTGGATTATCAAGTTTAAGGCTAAAAAATTTAAAGTACGCCACTGGTACAGGCTGACGTTTTACTTTTTGTTTCTTTAATCTGAAACTTCTCTGTAACTAGATTCATTCATTTATTCAAAATACAAAGAACAAAGAACACTTAGCAGATGTTGACACTATATAGGCCAGGCTCTGCACTTGACACTGATGAAGAAAGACACAGTCAGTCCCATAGTTAAGGGAGAAAGGCAATTTAATCAATGATTCCATAAGAGTGTTACATACATGACTACTCATTATAAGATAATGCTATAGACAAAAACGACAAAACAGTAATCGTGACAACAAAGGTGATAGGAGTTGAATGCTTGTTGCAAGGTAAGCATCGAATAAGTGCTTTACATGCTTTATCGAGTTTAATCTTTACAGCCCCTCTCCATATAGCTACCTATGTATAGGTAACAATTATTAGCCTCACCTCACTGACAAGGAAAGTTGGACCTGAGCAGGTTAGCATACTTGTCCAAAATGAGAGCTAGAAAGTAAGGGAGCTGGGATTTGAGTCCAGCGTGTGGTTGGAAGGCAGTGGGGAGTCTCCCTGCCTCCGGCCGCTGCAGCAGGAACCGGCTCACACCTGAGACCAGCAACGCTCTTCACCTAACACCAGGGACCCGTCCGTGGGGTTTGAAAATGAAAGTTATTAACAGGATATTTGAAATGATTACAGTGTTGAGAACAAACCCATTTCGTTCACCAGAGTTTCAGGTAAAGACTGCAGCTCTCGAATGTAGAATTTCAGGAAGGAGGGGAGGGGTAAATCGGTTTTCTGACATCACCTGCAACAGTTCTGAGTGGTCTTTTCTCCTCGCATTTCATTTTACCAACAAATTCATGAGCCACAGAATGAAACACACCTCTTTTCATTGGGAAAAACGGAACTGGTTGTCTCAGGTTATTCAAGTGAAGCTGTTAGAAGCCGAATCTAGTCTATAAATCCACCTGAGGAAAGAGTCTCACATGGTTTGAATATGAAGAGTAAAAATTGAAAGGGTGAGGAATGATCTAGAAGGAAAATCGGAAAATGGTCTTTAGTCTTAGCTACCTTGCTGCTGCTGAAGAGAGAGAAACGGAGGGGGGTGGAAGGAAGGAGGGAGGGAGAAGGAGGCGGGGAAGAGGGAGAGGGAGAGGAGGAACAGTAGCAGGGAGGAGGCAAAGAAGGAAGAAAAAGGAAAAAACACTGTAGCAGGGGCTCTTCCCCTCGGGGATGACTTGTCTGCTGTAGCTGTCTTTGAACCCTTACAGCCTTGCAACTTACTTTATAAACTCTCCGGATCCGCTTCCTGTTCTTCTTCCAGCTGCCAACTAATTCTTGTCTTTTTAGCAGTTTTTAGTTCTCTTAGAGTATGAGCACGAAAAATGAAATAAGAAAATCCAATCAAATTGGTCTTCTGTCTGCCCAGGGATGCAGCATGTGGTCCAGACTGGGACAACAGCTCTGGGCTAAAATGAGATTTGGCATTCCCGAGTGCATTGTATTTTGTCTACCTGTACCTCTGTCTCTCCATGGAGATGATTAAGCCCTCGACCGTATGTTCTCATTCCTCTGTCCCCAGTATATAAACGTCCCCACGTTTGCTGTAGAAGGGCATACAAGAAACTATTCATTGAATGAGTGAACAAATAAATGAACGAATGAATGAAATAGAAATGGCAACACTTGTGTTGTTACCTTACTGCCCCCACCCCTCCGCGCAGTAATTACTCAAGGAACAACTTCCAGGGTAACTACTCAAGAAGGTCCAGAAGTTGTAGTTTTTCAAAAACATACATAAATTCACAGGCACTTGTTTAAACCCATATTTTCTCCCCCCGCCCCAGCCAATCTCTATGAATTGTCAAGCAAATGCTTTAGGAAGCAGGATGCTACATATACAGCTCTGTTTGGTTGTTACCAGATTAGTGGAGCCAGAATGGAATGTTATACTATTTTTTTTCGATCCAAGGATAATCTATTCTTGCAAAGATAGTTACAAAAGGCAGTAAGAGTTCCTATGGGGAACACAAATAGTGTCTGAATCGGATGAAGACACAACAAGAGTGCCCGATGCAGCTGCGTCAGAGCATGGTTCGGTGTCTGTGGCTTCATCACCATCTTAAATGGAACATCTATATTTCTTCTGGGTTTAATGAAGCCACAAACAACCAACTCTTTGTTGAGTGATATTGGAGACTTTTTTTTTTTTTTTTTTTGCTTTTAACTTGATGTATTTTAATTTGTGCTTAACTAGCCCTCCCACATCAGGTCCTCAGACTGGCACTTTAGGGACAATTAGCTAAGTGTTCTTCTGTGTTCGCCACAGAGCTGAGGCAACAGATAAGGAGAATCAATAAGGCCAAGGCCGTTTAGGAAGAGAACATTCACTTCCCGACAAGAGCTTTGGCTGGCTCGCCTCGCTGCCTACTCCGCTGGGAAATGCTCTGCTCTGGTCCCTCGGTGCCTCTTTCTCGTGGGAGCTGCTCTGCTCTGACTGCTAAATGACTTTGCTGTCGTGTTCTTCAGTTTTCAGGGCTGTATCTCCTGTCTTTCTTCACCATCCTCATCGGGCTGGTGCTCTACTCCTCCACCTCCACATACGTAGCCCAGGACCCCCGAGTGTACAAGCAGTTCCGCAATCCTTCGGGCCCCGTCGTGGACTTACCGGCCACAGCTCAGGTGGAGCCCTCAGTCACCTACACCAGCCTGGGCCAGGAGACCGAAGAGGAGCCCCACGTCCGCGTGGCCTAGGATGAGGCCCTCCCCGCCCACTGAAGTCACCTCCGTGGCCACGTTGTTCGCCCTTCATCTCTGTATTGTACATAGAGAAAGGTATTTATTAGGTGCGGTTTACGCAGGTGGACTGCAAGGTAGCAAATCTGAAAGCCTATAAGAGGCATAAGCTGAACATCCCTGGAGTCACGGCCTCCGAGCCATCTGACTTAGAGAGACGCCTAGCTAGTATGTTTCCTGATCACAACCCTCCTGCATTAATTACTGTGAAAACTTTTGAATTAAAAGCAATTATTATTATTATTTGTATTATTATTGTTACTGTTATTACACTAACTTTCAGGAGGATGTTTTGTACTCCTGATGAGAACTATCGCCAGACCCACATGTAGTTAACATAAATCCCACTTTTCTATGGCAAGTCACTTTTTAAGAATCATACTTTATTTTTTTGCACAGTTTACATGAGTGCTGCATACCACAGGAGCTCCACCCTGAGAAGTTTCCTTAGCCGAGGGGCCTGGTGGCTGATGGTTTCCTCTGTCACCTGTTGGACTGCCTGCTCAACAAGTATTTTGTGCTGTCACCCTTGTGGGGAGGGGCAACTGACCATATAATTCTCTATTCTAGGAATAGATATAAAACAAACACTTGAGCTTTTTTATATTTTGATCTCTGATTACTCCGGGCCATTGCCTTTCTGTTGTACCACGTGATTCTGCTAATGAAGTCCCTGTAATAACAGGATAAGGAAGCTTTTATTTCCGTGGCTTATAGGAAACCCCAGGAATAATAATATCATGTGTGTTTTGGGTAATATATATATATATTAAATATATTAAATCTTTCTGCCCCTCCTTATAGCCTCTCTTCCAAAAATGTATTTGATTTTACATTTAATTCCTAGATTTCTTTAGTGATACTATGAAAATTATTCAAGTCATTGGAAAAAGCCATGGCCCTCTGCCCTCTTCAATTGTGTCCCACCCTTGTTAAGATATACCAGCATGGAAATCACCCTCACTGTGGAGTGTCATTGGTGGGGTGGCCCCCAACAAAGTCAACGTGCTGATGTGGAGCAGTCTCTGACAATGGCTTGATTGATCTGACCACGTGGTAGTGATAAAGATGTCATGAATGAAAAAGTGTGGCATCTTGGTCATATTTGGCATCCCTTCAACAGCAGAATATATCAACACCCTATTCTTAGGGATACAGAGAACATTGTGGGGTCCTGATAAGGCTTTGAGGGATATGTCACTAGTCTAATTTTGTTGCCCTTAAAGTAACTCTTTTTTTCAAACACACACAAACACACAAAACCAAGAAGCACCACAGACCTCTACGATTTGGAATAGATTTTATGTGTCAGTATGTGAAATAGTCTTTAAGTTTGACCGGCTTAAATACCATGCAAAAAGATCCGTGATGGAGTACAGGGTTTGTTAAGGAAAAATAAATGCTTATGAAACTGTGGGCAATTCAGATCAATACATCTTAAGCAAACAAAACAAATCACCGGAGGGGTCCGTGTAAAGTAGGACAGATTGCAGCCCCGTCAGGACTCCCGTAGAGCCTGCACAAGGCCTAATTCCTGGGTAGGCGAACGCGTCCCGTGCTGGCTGGTCAGCAGCAGGTGGCCCTTCTGTCTGCCTTCTACCCCCGGGGGGGCAGTCCTGCCCCCGGAAATGGCGAAGAAGAATTACCTCCTCGGATATGCAGAGTGTATGGTCATCTCTGTTCAGCCCCCTCAGAAATATGTTTTATTTTTGGAGAAAAAAGAAATCAATGTCAAAACAACTTGCCAGTGTCTGCTCTCTGCTACCTTTTAAACCAATTAAATACCTTTCTCTGAATATTTTGTCCATTCAGATCTGAAGACCTTTAAAGACTGTGGTTTTATTTTTGTGTTTACATTCCTTCGGTTGGCATAATTTGCTTGATTTATTGCATTTTTAGTATTTATTTTAAAGCCAAATGTTTTAGTCTTTTTTATTCATTTTTATGACACTAATTTGTAGACACTTAGTAAAGTCTTATGAGAAATAAGTGGATGAAGCTATTCCAAGTCAACTCAGTGGACTGGGAAGTTTTTTAAAATTTAAATTTCAAAAAGGTTTGCAGTCAACGGTTGGCTAAAAGTCTCCATCTGGATTATTTTCTAGGATATTTTAATTGACTCCCTTGTATGGAAACCAACTGTGAATGTTAAGGTGAACTCACTGTAAACCCTTTACCATCCAGTGTTCTCGTGCACAACGACTTTCATGTCACTGGGGTCCTTCACTGTGTTGGTTCGTCTCCAGTTAGAAAGGCTGATAACATATTGCACCGTCTGAGATCAGAAGTTCCAGATTGACCCTTCGGACAAAAAAGAAAATAGCAAAGAACAAACTCTTTGTGTAAAAATACTGGTTCTTCGGGAGCGGGGTGGGAAGCGCGAGTAGGACATTAACTCTAGCCGTTTTCATTTCTGAAATTTCACAGCCTCAATAGACACCAGCAAAAAGTTCAGCTTTTCGCCCCCCCCACCCCCACCCTGCACAAGTGAGACTTTAGCAACTTGTATAGAATTGGATTGGGTAAGCAAACCACAGCGCCTCCCCCACCCCCCACGCCTCTCTGCTAGTGATCAGTGCTGGTTCTCAGTTTCCTCCATGAAAACCTGCCCTGGGGACAGCGCTTGCCTTGGTCACAACTTCACACCTTCCCACCGCTCCAGACTCTGAAATACACAAGCAGGTAGACCAAGCAGTGGAAAAATCTGCACCACTGTGTCCCATGAAAATGTTTCAATGTTTAGTTTAGATATTGCTAACTTGTGCTATTAACCTTTTGACAAGTGTGTAGTATTGTTTGTTTTGGGTTTGTTTTTGAGTTATAACCACTTAGTAGTCCCCAGCTAGCTACCAGGACAGATTTTACCCCATGGGTAGGATTCTATTGTCAAGCCACATAACAAAGCACACTAATCCAGACACCGTAAGTGGAAAATATAAACCAAAAAGGAGATTTACACCGATAAGTTGAACAAACTCCATTTTTGATATTTGCATGCTCCCCTATGGACTGGCTGTGGCAATGTAATGCCTGTATAATGTTTTCAAATAAAAATAAATGCTTTATGAAAGCACTGAGTTCTTGGTTTTCTTGAGTGTTTGCACTATGACGGCCATGAAAGGAGCTCCCATGGGATGCTGGAAATAGCCATGAAAGTAGATAGCAGGGTCCATGTCAAAATAAAAACCAGAAAGAAAGTATTTCCAAATTAGGAAGGGCACAGTTGGTCTCAGAGCTGTAGCTTTGAAAAGCCAAAAGGAACGCGTTTGCAATTTGCAAAATTAATTACTTAACCAAGCCTTGAGAAGGCTCTGGGGCTCCGGTCTCCAAGCCCACCTTTAAAACACATGTAGAACAATATAAATTTCCCCCCAAGAAACGATGTCTTACAAAGGAGAAAGTTCTGTGTATGTTGCCCTTGGCATAATGCCAGACTTAAATGACGAGCGCTCTTCCAGAACACTGCATTTATTAAGCAGGACTGTTTTGTGTTTCTGCTCTGGACTGACACAGTATCTTGTCATTGTCCTTGCCCCACTGACTGCAGGCACCAGCAATCCCTTCAGTACTTCGAGATGATGTATATAAATTCACATGTTCCTGTCGTGTGTGTTCACAATCGGACCTCAAAAATTAAATGAGCTGCAAAGACTGTGTACCTGAGGGACACCTGGGTGGCACAGTCAGTTGACTGTCTGCTTTCGGCTCAGGTCATGATTTTGGGGTCCTGGGACCCACATTGGGCTCCCTGATCAGTGGGGAGTCTGCTTCTCCCTCTGCCCCTCCCCTGCTCATGCGTGCTCTCTCTCAAATAAATAAAATAAAATCTTTTAAAATAAAAAAAAGGACTGTGTACCTGAGTTATATATTTAAAATATTTTTAAAGGAAAAACACCCATTTTTTTTCAAGAGAATAGGAATAGCAGCACACTGATCTTTTATAGAGTATTCGTAAGTTGAGATCCTCATGATCTACCTTTATAAGTACAACCCTAGGTACTTAACACTAAGAATTCGCTTAAAAATGTGACTCAGCTTTAAAAAAAGTTTTTTCCTTGAAAAAATACGAAGATTTCTCTAATGTGTTGTTCACTTTATCGAGGAGGTTCTTCCATCAAAGTTGAAATATATTTGAACTTCAATCCAGGCTATGTCCAAGTGTCCAGCAATTCTAAATAATTGGAGTCCAAAGGGTATACACAATAAATGCATAGGACATGTTTACTCGGTCTCCCCAGTGAATTCTAATTTTCTTAAGGGAAAAAACTCAGTTTCCTAAATGCTTGGAAGTTCTTGCAAAGGTAAGATAAGGCGGCACTTGAATGATTTTTGTGACCATTATCATGAAGAAAAAAGAGAAACAAGTAAAATTCAGCAAGAGAGCTGTAATTTGTTACATTGTCTCAATGTTCCATAGGAAACAAATTGTAACATTGAAATAACAGGATCTGAAACCAGATCATTTCAAGTCTAGCAAAACATCTCGCACAGGGAAGGCATTTGTACATCTTTTTTTTTTAATGCAGTCTAACTTCTAAACTCAAAATAGAAAATACAAGAGTAAGATTTCTATTACAAAATGTTCCCTTTTTTTCTTCTACTTGAGTACTTTTTTCTATAAAATTCCTGTTCTTGGGAAGGAATGAATCACTGGTCCACTTAAATGTACACTTCTGGGAAGTTTTTTATAAACCCTTAAAATGTTTACCCCTTCAGGTTGGCCCTGGGATAAAAAAGCAACAAAGTGAAGTTCTTTTTTTACTTGCAAATAGTGTTTTTGAATTTATAACACTGCTTCTTAATTATGTACACTGATCTTTTTTTTTTTTTGCTTCCTTTTTTTTTTCTTTTTCTGTCTTTTTTCTTTCTGCAAGCATAAACAAAGGGATCGCTATGGGCCACCTAGGCAGTGTCTCTGCCCCTTATTCTCTATGTGGTCAAAAATGTTTAATTCAAAAAAATTATAATACAGCTGGGAAATCCCGCACCTACCAGATGGCCTTACATCAGTGCCTGAAAGCACTAGCCATTGTGTGTCACTTCTCAGACAGCCAGACAAGTCACGTCCAAACACTACTGCAGCCTGATTAACAAGGAAAACTAATGATCAGAGGGAACAGGTCTCTGGGAAAAGACGAAAATTAGGGGCTTCCATCTGGATAGACAAAGGCCTGGTGCGGGTAAGACTAAGATCTATCAAATGAGCTTGTTCACCCGGCCTCAGCATTAGAGCTGGAAACAATCCCATAATGCTTGAAGGATAATTTCAGGATAGGTAAAGATAAATATCACTTTACACAATGGGGAATAATCTTCCTGAACTTATTACCTCAAAGTGATGTGTTAAGTCACCTAATAGATGGGAGAGCTACCATAAGGCATTAAGGAGCCTGTGTAATTCATTATCCAGTCTGTTAACACTTTCAAGAGTGAAAGCAGACACTATT